TATCCGACACCTGACGGCGGCGGTGGCTTCAGGTTTTGCGTAGTGCGCTTGCGGATCTGTTAAACAACAGAGCTCACCATGAGCCGGGTTGGCTACCTGTCACAACAGCCTCGCTATGCGAAGACTCCTTTGCAGTGTCCGAAAGAAAGATGTATGTATGTATGTATGTATGTATGTATGTATACATATGCATGCATGCCCTTCGGCTTAGGTTACTTCAAGACCGATGGATCAAGATAGGAGAAAGACACATACAAAAGCCATGGGTAGATTTCAGGAGCACCTCCCCGTTGGCACGATGGTCTTCATGGCGCCGGAAACGTTTACAAACCCCTCTCCGCAACTGACTGGGCAAACGGATGTTTGGGCTCTGGGAGTTATTCTGACCTGGATCGTGACGGCCGTTGAGATCCTTGGCTGTGCTCGACTGCCTCTGGCGTCTTACCGTTTGGCCACAAGGTTCTTGCAGCATGCCCTCTCTTGCTTGTGCATGCCCAGGCTCGGCAGCTTGCAACATCCAAACCTGGATCGCGAAGATGGCCGCGATTTTTGCGTGAAGTGGATAGATATGCCTCGTGCCAGCATGCGGGTTCGCCGGTAGTTTAGCCAGAGGGCGTCACATCGTGGCTACATGAAAGGGGCAGGAATGGAGTCCCTGCCCGCTCAGGTACCGCGCTTTCAAGAACAAAGTGCCTTGGAATCGTGCTTTGGCGAAGGGCCACCCGGAAGTTGCCAACATCCTTGACAAGGCCAGGTGTGGTGGGCATGCACAAGTGCATTGCAAAGCAATTGCTCCGGATTTCGGTCGTTGTTGCGGCGCTAGAGGTATTGGCGATCGACCCGGCGGAACGTTGCACTGCTTCTGACATCTTGCAGGTGCGTCGGACGACTTTTCTTTTCAATCAGACCTGCTGCGGTTGCTGGCGCAAACTTGGCTTGTCCTTGCAAGTTCTAGCCAGCTTGTTCCAGCAGGCTGACTGGATGCGTGTAACTGATCCTGCTGCCTCCGCCTCCGCTGCACTGTTGGAGAAAGGAACTCTACTCTACAACTTGCGACTCCCGGCTTGTTCTGAGTTGTCGTCATACATTCTCAACCGGACGTTCCATTCTGGCAAGGAACATTCACGGAGCTGTCTGCCTTGGAGAAGAAGATCGTGTCCCTGGTGGCTGATCATGCCCCTGATGCGAAAACAGCACTTCTCCGAAGGAACTCATCGTGCGGAAAGGGAGTGCGCTTTTCGAATCCGTCGGCCATACCGGAGTCGTGCAAGCGAGCGGATATGATATGAGGACATTTCGAGCCTTCGACAAAACCAATGATGGCTTTCTCGAGATGTCCGAGTTGATCGAGGGCTTCAGGCTGCCTTATCTACCTTGCAGATAGATCAAGTGCGCATTCATTTGCAATCTGCACAAGCAAACCGAGTTCAACACACAAGACATGCAAGAATTGATGCATTTTGTGATCTTATCCTCAGGGAACATGACGTCGACATTGACGTGGCCTGGCAAGCGTTTTCCAAGAAAGGTTCTTCAGCCCATTGGAACCGCACATCTTCAACCCGTTTCCAACAGAATCAGAAGCTGCAAAACTCCCGCGTATCCCGTCGTTCTGAGTTCTGAGGAAGCAGCTATTCGGGAAGTGTTTGAGGCAATGGACCTTGACGACAACAAGCTTATTAGCCGCTCGGTGAAAGCTGTCGTTTGTGCGCCCCAGCGACCTCACGCAGAGTTGGTAGTGGCTTTCTGCACGTCCCAGGCTATCAAGAGTGGCTTGCTGCTACTATTGGGCCGAAGGTGCTTGAGTCTGATGCCTGGCAGCAAGATGCAGCGTAATAGCACTCGTGTTCGCGTGCTCGTTGTGTTACAGACCTGTCTTGAGCCTCGTTCGCAACAGGAAGGTGCGCTGCAAGCGTGCTTCCGGCGCCTAGATGCTGAAGCCAATGGCATCATCAGCAGAAGTGATATTGAGAGGCAGAAGATGCTGTGGATGGTGTTCGAAATCACAGCTGCAAGGGGATAGGGATAAAGCAACATCAACTGAGGATCAACAACAATGAAATTAGGTTAGGAAAAAATTAAATCAGGACCAGGAAAATTAAGCGAGCAGGAAGATAGGAAGCAAGGAAGGAAGAAGTGAAGCTGAAGAGACGAGAGGAAGGAAGGAAGGAGGGAATGAAGGAAGGAAGGCAGGAAGGAAGGAAGGACAGCAGGGAAGAAGGAGGGAAGGAAGAAAGGAAGGAAAGGAACAAGGAAGGAAGGGAAGGAAGGAAGGAGACAAAAGAAGGAAGGGAGACAGGAGAAAGGAAGGCAGTCAGAAGAGAAAGAGACAGTAAGGAAGGAAGGAAGGAAGGAAGAAACGAGGAAAGGAAGGAAGGTGGACATACATACGTACAAGTATACCTACATGCATACATACATACATACATGCATGCATGCATACATACATGCATACATACATACATACATACAATGTACATATGTACTTGTACATGTATGCGTACTATACGTATTCGTAAAGGGGATATATATATATATATTTATTT